CCGCGCGGTGCGATTTCGCGAGAAGAAATATGGACCACTGCTCACAGAGGAAGAAGGTCGGATGGTGGAGGTCGAAGACTTAGGGAGTCGCCTAATAGTGGACGGCAACTCGTGCCCAAAGGGAAAAGATGAGGAATTTGGCGGTGTGGTATCCGTGTCTTTTTAAAGGGCACGGCTACCCAAGCGACACAAACGAGTAGCGCAAAAAGTTAAGCCACCGGCAGTGGGCCGCGAGCGATCTGCACTAGAAGGGATATCGGAAGAAGAGATCGCGAAAGAAATCAAAGAAAGAAAGAAAAACGAGCCGCAACGTCTAACGGAAGAGACGATAGCAGGGATGGACATCGGAGATGGAAATTTGACCCCACAAGAGCGAGAACGTGTGATAGAAATCCTGAAGACATGTAATAAGGCCATAGCTTTCAGCGACGCGGAGCGGGGTAGGATTGATCCTCGATACGCTAAGCCAGCTAGAATTTATACGATTCCACATGTTCCTTGGAATGATGCGGGATGGAAATACGCCCAGAAGGAGAAGGAAGAAGTTATTGCTTTCCTGAAAGAAAAGATGATTTCCCACGTTGCGGAGCTGTCTGATAGCGCTTATGCTAATCGATGGTTCTTCCTACGGAAACCGAATGGCAAGATCCGATGGATCCAGGACCTTCAGAAGGTCAATGCGGTGACGATACAAGACGTGGGCTCCGTGCCGCATGCCGATTTACTAGCAGAAGGCGCGGCAGGTAGGTCGATCTATTCGGTCTGTGATCTGTTCTCAAGCTATGATGAGGTACCACTTGACCCTAGGGACAGACACCTCACGGCTATGCATACGCCATTGGGACTAATTCAAATGATGGTTGTCCCTATGGGTTGGACTAATGGGGTAGCCGTTTTTCAGAGAGCCATGGTAGCCGTCCTCAAGGACTTCATCCCCGATAAGGTTGAAGTTTTTCTGGATGACTTTCCTATAAAAGGGCCAGTAGACAGGGATGAGACAGAGGTTATACCTGGAGTTAGAAGATTCGTCGAGCAGCACCTAACAGACATTTGCGCGGTACTCGAGCAGCTGGACGATGCGAATTTGAGAGTCAGCAGAACCAAGAGTCGATGGGCCGTCTCGACTATTAAGATCTTGGGCTTTATATGTGACTCGAGAGGACGCCGAGMAGACCCGGCGAAGTTAGACARACTCCKRAACTGSCCGTCACCGTTACATAGCCCAACCGAGGTCCGACAGTTTCTGGGAGTGGTCGGTTACTGGCGTATATTCATACGGGGGTATGCGGAGAAGGCTGAGCCATTGAGGTTACTCCTTCGAAAGACTGAAAAATTMTACTGGGATTCTTCGCARGAACTCGCAATGCAAGAACTTAAAGACGAATTTAAGGAGGGAGGCCGCGTGTTGGKCGTCCCATTCTTTGACGATGAGACCGAGAGACCCTTCATAGWATCCACGGATGYTGGGCCGTGTTCAGTSGGTGGTTTGCTGTCTCAGAAGGACGCTGGAGGGAAGGAAAGACCGTTAAGATTTGAGAGTAGGACACTTAATACGGCCGAGCGTAACTACGKTCAATTCAAGAAGGAAGTGTTAGYTGTTCTYYGGTGTCTAGATACGTTCAGACACTWTATCTWTGGGCGACGGTTCATCTTGAGAGTAGACYYCACCGCGGTTGCCTCTRTCCTCCARAAGGACTTYAGTCTGACGGACCCGACCATCGCCCGATGGTTAATACGGATTCGGCTATACGAATACACGGTTGAGAGAGTATCTGGTACTAAAAATGTCGTGGCAGATGGACTATCACGCATCCCTCTCGAGCGTCCGATAGTAGCTGGGGCTCTGACAATGGCAGAGCCGAGGCGCGCCGAGAGATTTCTAGTTAATCTTTACGAGGGCAAGTACCGAATGATCGGACTACACCTGACGGGAGAGGAGAGTCAAGATTCAGAWATCCGGAGGCAAGCAGCCCAGTACTGCCTTAGAGCGGGCCACCTTTTCCGAAGGCCAGTAGGGTCGGGAATGCCCTTACGAGTAGTCTGTGATCCTGAGGAGAGACAGACGATAGTTGCGGAACTACACGACGGGGTAGTCGGAGGACACAGGGGAGTTAAAGAAACCTACGAAAAGATACGCCGGCTGTACTGGTGGGAAGGACAGTATAAGGACGTCGAGAGGTATTGTATGACATGCGAAGAGTGCCAGAAAAGAACTCTTGTGAAATACAAAGAGCCACTTCACCCATCCTACCCGACTAGACCAGGGGAGAAGGTACACATTGATATAGTGAAGATGCCGAAAGGGGTAGGCAATATGAACTACGTCGTGAACATACGAGACGATTTCACTGGATTCGTGGACGGTAGACCTATCAGGAGTAAAGCAGCAAAGGAAGTCAAGAGCTTTGTCCTAGAATACTTATCTAGGTATGATTGTGTCGGCAAGATAGTGATGGATAGAGGGGCGGAATTCCTAGCCGACGAGGTCCAGAGCGTGTTTAGGAGAGCCGGTGCGAGAGTTTCGATAGCCACCGCCTATCACCCACAGTCGAACTCCCCAGTAGAGAGGGGACACCAGACTCTGATAGCGTCACTGTCCAAGTGGTGCAAGGGTAAAGACAGTGATTGGCCACGATATTTTCGATACGCGATATGGGCGGACAACGTCATGGTCCGGGCTAGTACCGGATACCCACCATACACCTTGTGGTTTGGACGACATTGTCCGCTTCCCATAGAGTTTCACGTCGACAGTTGGACAACCGTCGACTGGGCAGAGGAGATGTCCAGAGAGGAATTCTTAGCTGCTCGAACAAGACAGATAGCCTACGGGTTGGAAGATAACCTTATGACAGCAGCCGATCGTCTGGCAGTGGAAAGGGACAAGGGTAAAGAGAGATGGGATAAGAACGTGCGGATCAGGAAGGAGAGGGTGAGTGTAGGAGACATGGTCCTCCTCTACGATGCAGCGCTGGAGAGAACCTGGACCGGAAAGCTTGCCAATAGATGGATGGGACCTTACAGAGTGGTTGAGACACTTGACTGGATGCATATATGATAGGAGAACTAAACGGATCTAAGTGGAAGGACCCAGTGGTGGGGGCTAGGTTAAAGCTGTTTAGGCCAAGGCCCACGTCCGCTTTATCGCTAACCAGCCCGAAAGGGAAAGGGAAAGCCACAATCGAGGATGAAGCCCCCTTGAGGAAATTCGAGGCTGGGGAGAGTTCCAAGAAGAGGAAAAGGGTGGAGAAGAGAAAGCTCAAAGGGTTGGCGATGGGAAAGAGGAAGAGATGGTTATTCGTGCTCAGGAGGACCAGAAGGAGAGTGCGTATCAGACAAGCTGACGAGTCGGCACCTATCACGGACTGCCGTTAGGAGAGAGAGCGAAACCTTTCCAGGCCAAATTTTCGAAGAAAAAGAAGAGTCAAAAAGCGTCTTCTTAGTCCCAAAACTCGTAACGGACTGAAACATAAGACAATTAAACGCCGACGTGGACGTCCTTTACGGGCCATCACCYTGAAGCTCGTCCGCTTCTTTTGACGTAAGTGAATAGGGCTCGACGGGGGCGTCGAGAAGTGGTCCGGGCTAACTGTCAGGCGGCCACAAGCAGTGCACCGCCTGAAATCTGCAGTTTTGGGACTTAGGCCCCGGGACAAGTCCGTGATTTGATGGTACTCTCGTATGACCAGGCAGCAAAAATTAGGGGAACTCAGGGCACCCCTGATTTTGGGCGCACTGAGCCTTGCGAGTAATCCTCAAAGATGGCGAGATGGGTGGCCGCACTCGACATGTCTAGGGACTGTCATTTCTGGCCGTTCAGCGGGCTAGACCCGAAATGGCCTGCCGCGGGGAGGCATCGGGGGAACTGACCTCGCCACAACGTTTCTGCCGCATACGAGCGGGGCTGTGATGAGGCCTTAAATTTTTGTCTATTTTAGTACCATAATTAAAGATGGGGAAGAGGGATTAAGATCAGTAAGGGGGAAGAAAAAAACATAATATTCCTTATTTCTTTATTTTTCACGGCATTTAATTCTAGGAGGAAAACCCTTGTTATTTTATGTAATCGACAATAAAATTAAAAACATGGGAAAAGATTAAAAATGGTAAAAGAGAAAAGAGACAAAAGGAATTCGGCCATTTATCCAAACTCTCTCGGAATTTAATTTTGGAGAATTTACGGTTAATTTACTGTTTCAGAGAATAGAATTGAGGAAAACGAAGAACGATTAAAAACGATGAAAGGGGACGGAAACCCATGACTATTGGGAGATCGACCTAATTTCGGCTCGATTACCCGCCATCAGCTCAGAGCCCGGATCGAACATTTTCCCCGGATTTTAACAGTTTTCACTGCTGCCGATGGTCGAGGTTCGCTGCATCGCGTTTCCCTGGTTTGCTTGATTACTAGCATTACCGCGGTTGAGATATTCTGAGAGCAGGAGTCGCATGGACAGCATGGGGTGGTGCTGCCTTGGGTCGACTATGGTGTTTGGTTCGGTACGGATACGAGGGTTGTTACGGAGTGGCTGCGCCCTACGGTGCCTGATATGCTTCAGGTACGGTATGGGCCTGGTAACAGCTGTCTCACTACGGTGACTTATTTTCAGGTTTGGGACAACTGCGGTGATTTACTTCCAGGACTGGGACCGCTACAACAGCTATTCCATGTTTGGAACCTTGGCGGCAGTTAGTTTTCAGGTCCGAAAATGTAGCGGCATTCTATATCAGGTTCGGGACAGGTACGTAATTAACATGGCAAGGTTATACGAGTTCGGCATCCCCGTGTGCCTTCACGACCCACTTGCAAGTCATTTCAGGGGGCATAATAGAAGGGAAGGTTCGGTGCAGTGACGAGACATTATCCACAAAACGGTATTCGRCATCGCACTGGTGTGACGACGGCACAGGCTGTTGAAATTCAGGGTAGCAATTCAGGTTCGGCACGTTCTGCTTGGTATTGACATGGGCCTTAGCCGGCAGGGCGCTATATTCTGTGACCATGGTTGCTGTTTCGGAGTTGGCTTAGTACTTTCACTGGGACGGTGTCGGTACGGGCTGCTTCTATTCGTTGTCGAGACGGCCGGAATGACCGCTAGTTCGGGCTGGCATGGCATTGCAGACTGGTTCTTGTTTGCAGGTTCGGAATTGGTAAGACTGCTGGGACAGGTACGGCCCAGGTATGGTGATGGTACAGGCCGCAATTTAACGCTACAAGGTTGACACGGTGTGAGTTTTCACGATTCTGGCACACTTATTCCTGGCCACAGACACTGAATTGACGACGACACAACGCGGCCCCGGGGGGGGGGGTGTTCCAGTCTGCCTCTTTTGTTTTGATATGGTCGGTGGTTCGACCTTGGCGTTGATCTGGTACCGGTGCAGCCAYTGYAGTCCGGAGCTATTATGTTTCTGCAAGGTTGMTGGTTCGTAGCTGAGAGGGGGCATTGAAGCCGATGCTRTTATCACATGGTACRATACKTGATCCGGTCCGGGGRAAAATTCACTCGGMMAGTGATCATGAAACTCATGGAACCCCTSRGCTCTGATCCAAGACTACCRGGTCAASACTGCGGTACCAACGRGATTACWGCTGCTGGAGACARGTACACCGGACCCGTAGGCCTTGTACCGCTGGAACCAGTGGCACCGTTCCGTCTCGAGCTGGGTACTGGAGAGTCAGGAGGGCAGTGAGCCTTACTGGTACCTGCAGTTAAGGCCGCGGAGATAGAAGAGCCAGGGGGGGCGAGACAACGGGGGGGGAATTGGAAGGAGCATGGACTAGCGTGCACGGCGTGCACAGTGGTAGAGCTCACCGGGCATGGTGCACGTTTCGTATGTGTGGGTGATGATCTATCGAAGATTGGATCGGGGCATGGTGTGGCAAAAGGGGACAAGGGGCAGAATTGTCCGCTCTCGGACGGTTACTCTGCGTGAGCGAGGGGAGTGGGAATCCATGAGGTGGATAAGCTTGTGTGGGTGATAGTTCGTTTGCGGGAGATGGTGTGGCGCAGTGAGAACGGACGGGGGCAGAGGAAGTCNTGGGGAGAGTTCCAAGAAGAGGAAAAGGGTGGAGAAGAGAAAGCTCAAAGGGTTGGCGATGGGAAAGAGGAAGAGATGGTTATTCGTGCTCAGGAGGRCCAGAAGGAGAGTGCGTATCAGACAAGCTGACGAGTCGGCACCTATCACGGACYGCCGTYAGGAGAGAGAGCGAAACCTTTCCAGGMCAAATTTTCGAAGAAAAAGAAGAGTCAAAAAGCGTCTTCTTAGTCCCAAAACTCGTAACGGACTGAAACATAAGACAATTAAACGCCGACGTGGACGTCCTTTACGGGTCATCACCCTGAAGCTCGTCCGCTTCTTTTGACGTAAGTGAATAGGGCTCGACGGGGGCGTCGAGAAGTGGTCCGGGCTAACTGTCAGGCGGCCACAAGCAGTGCACCGCCTGAAATCTGCAGTTTTGGGACTTAGGCCCCGGGACAAGTCCGTGATTTGATGGTACTCTCGTATGACCAGGCAGCAAAAATTAGGGGAACTCAGGGCACCCCTGATTTTGGGCGCACTGAGCCTTGCGAGTAATCCTCAAAGATGGCGAGATGGGTGGCCGCACTCGACATGTCTAGGGACTGTCATTTCTGGCCGTTCAGCGGGCTAGACCCGAAATGGCCTGCCGCGGGGAGGCATCGGGGGAACTGACCTCGCCACAACGTTTCTGCCGCATACGAGCGGGGCTGTGATGAGGCCTTAAATTTTTGTCTATTTTAGTACCATAATTAAAGATGGGGAAGAGGGATTAAGATCAGTAAGGGGGAAGAAAAAAACATAATATTCCTTATTTCTTTATTTTTCACGGCATTTAATTCTAGGAGGAAAACCCTTGTTATTTTATGTAATCGACAATAAAATTAAAAACATGGGAAAAGATTAAAAATGGTAAAAGAGAAAAGAGACAAAAGGAATTCGGCCATTTATCCAAACTCTCTCGGAATTTAATTTTGGAGAATTTACGGTTAATTTACTGTTTCAGAGAATAGAATTGAGGAAAACGAAGAACGATTAAAAACGATGAAAGGGGACGGAAACCCATGACTATTGGGAGATCGACCTAATTTCGGCTCGATTACCCGCCATCAGCTCAGAGCCCGGATCGAACATTTTCCCCGGATTTTAACAGTTTTCACTGCTGCCGATGGTCGAGGTTCGCTGCATCGCGTTTCCCTGGTTTGCTTGATTACTAGCATTACCGCGGTTGAGATATTCTGAGAGCAGGAGTCGCATGGACAGCATGGGGTGGTGCTGCCTTGGGTCGACTATGGTGTTTGGTTCGGTACGGATACGAGGGTTGTTACGGAGTGGCTGCGCCCTACGGTGCCTGATATGCTTCAGGTACGGTATGGGCCTGGTAACAGCTGTCTCACTACGGTGACTTATTTTCAGGTTTGGGACAACTGCGGTGATTTACTTCCAGGACTGGGACCGCTACAACAGCTATTCCATGTTTGGAACCTTGGCGGCAGTTAGTTTTCAGGTCCGAAAATGTAGCGGCATTCTATATCAGGTTCGGGACAGGTACGTAATTAACATGGCAAGGTTATACGAGTTCGGCATCCCCGTGTGCCTTCACGACCCACTTGCAAGTCATTTCAGGGGGCAGAATAGAAGGGAAGGTTCGGTGCAGTGACGAGACATTATCCACAAAACGGTATTCGGCATCGGACTGGTGTGACGACGGCACAGGCTGTTGAAATTCAGGGTAGCAATTCAGGTTCGGCACGTTCTGCTTGGTATTGACATGGGCCATAGCCGGCAGGGCGCTATATTCTGTGACCATGGTTGCTGTTTCGGAGTTGGCTTAGTACTTTCACTGGGACGGTGTCGGTACGGGCTACTTCTATTCGTTGTCGAGACGGCCGGAATGACCGCTAGTTCGGGCTGGCATGGCATTGCAGACTGGTTCTTGTTTGCAGGTTCGGAATTGGTAAGACTGCTGGGACAGGTACGGCCCAGGTATGGTGATGGTACAGGCCGCAATTTAACGCTACAAGGTTGACACGGTGTGAGTTTTCACGATTCTGGCACACTTATTTCTGGCCACAGACACTGAATTGACGACGGCACGACGC